ATATATATATATATATATATATATATATATATATATATATATATATATATATATATATATAAACCCTTTATATTTATAAAAAAATAAGAAAAATAATGAATTATCATAATGAAAATGTTTTTTATCTTTTAAATTTAAATAAATAAAATAAACTAATAGGCTTTAATTTTGGGAATTTTGAAATTAAAATGTAAGTTCATTAATGAAATTGATATCCATTTATTACTATATTTATTGCAATTATTACATTAAAAGATTAAGTATAAGTTAATAAAATAGAAAAACTTATAAAATGACATGTGTAAAAAAAATTTCAAAATAACCACAACGTGACATTTAACAAATTGAATGAGAGTGTGAAAAGTGGCAAAAAAAACTTTCATTTATTAGAGAAGATTAAATTAATTAAATTGCCAAATTGAAGATGTGTAAAATCATAGAACGGAATTTCACCTACCATAACTATGAAAGAATTGATATAAGAGTAAATTATTCACTTTCATCTTTTAAAATCTCCTTTTCTAATCCTCTTTAATAAATGAAGGTTTTTTTTGTCACATGTCATCTTCTCCTTCATTTTGACACGTGTCATTTTGTGAGAATTTTAGAAATTTTATTTTTCACTTGTCATTTTGTAGGGATTTTCATTTTCTTAAAATAAAATTTCATAAAATTGTAATGGGTTCTATAAGGAAATAAAATCATCATATTAATTTGGTAATAAATTATCATAAATACTTCAAATGATTTAATTTCTTTTGCAAATGTTCCAAAAGATTACATTCTGTTATGTAAAGTATTACTTTATAAAATATTTCATTTTTAAATATTGATGTTATATTTTTATTTTTAATAAACCCGTGTAATACACGGGTCTCACACCTAGTAAATAAATATGTTTAATCTAAAAACTGTCATGTGTCATATTCTATACCTGCCACGTGTCTTCCTAATAAACTTCCAGAATTTATCCTGTTAATATCACAATACGATTTGATTTCATAAATCAGTTCCTAAAATTCAGTCAATCAGTTTTAATTTTACAAATATCATACCCCTAAAAACCAGCAATTGATATTTCAATTTCATTGGGTTTAGCAAAATATTAGGAACGTAGGTGGGGTTTATGTTGAATAGGGGTAGTTTTTTTTTCAGATTTAATATTTCTAATGTACAACTTTTAAAGCATGAGGTACAAGATTTTTTTGCTTTATTTTCCGATTTTATGCATTTTAAAGGAAGTTAAAAATGGTATTTCATTATTATTCTTTTTATATTAAAGTTAAAATGCTTAAAACAGATGGTATAAGGCTTTAAAGTCGAAGGAACGCACAAGTCATATCCAAAAAATTTTGTGGCCAATTTCCAATAAGCACAAATCCACTGTAACTAATATTTTTTAAATTATGTTTTAGTTTTCTTATTTTTTAAATTATGTTTTGGAATTTCTTTTATAATTCCTTATTTTTTTTATAATATATCTTTATTTTAAAAACTAATTTTTCTTAATTTTCTTACAATCAAAGTTATGTTACATTTTTTGTTTATAATTTATTTTATTTTTTGTCTATACAATAATTATAAAATTAACAACCGTGGTTTCCACGGGTTATAAACTAGTTGAAAATATAAACAAGGATGATAATAATACGTTCACAAAATATATTAGCACAAAATTTCACCAACAGAAAATTAAACACATAATCATTCACAAATAAGACTGTCTAATTTTCATAAATATAAAAGATAACATTCTTTAACCACCGCATTTATACTGTACAACATTTTTTTACAAAAATTCTTAAAAAATAGAAGAAAGTGAATATGACCAATTTATAAATTTAGAGAGTGAAATAAAATGTGAGTGACCACACCCTTTGGTCTAAGCACATGTTATCAATCAATAATAAATGTTATCAACTAATAAGGGGTGTTCGTTTGAATGGATCGGTTCGATCCGATTCAATCAAATGAATCCAAATTAATTTCGATTTTCAAAATATGGATCCGAATAATCTAAACTAAATTCAAATCTGATCTGATTCAACCAAATTACAATTCAGTTGGATCGGTTTTTACAATTCGGTTTTCAAGAGGCAAAACATTTTAAATATTATATAACTTGAATATTAGCCAACTCTATAAAATAAACTAAAAAAGTTTAGTTGTGAATTAAAATTTATAAAAAATTATTAAGAAAATATATTGTAGTTTAGTATTTCACAGACAAAAAAAACATTTTGATAAGAAATACATATTAACGTATTATATTGGATGAAATTTTCTAATCTATTAAAAATATAATTTAGTAAATTTACAAAAGATTAAAGATATAATATAATTAATTAATTAATTATTATTCGGTTTTTTGGATTATTCGGTTCTTATTTTATAAACAAAATTTAAAATAATAATTCGGTTTTACTAAAAATCAATAAAAAAATTCAAATATTCGAACCAAATAGTCTGATCCAATTAGACAATTCAATTTTATCCAAACAATGAATAATCCTAATCAATAAACTTTTAATACACATCAACAAGCAAGCGAACCATTTAAAAGAAATTATTTTCTCACAACATTATGCAAATGTACAACTACATTATATGCAACAAATAATATGTATGAATTTAAGACGTCTCACATGACTTCCAAAAAAAACAAATAATTACACAAGCCATAAAGTTCACATATTTCATGTAGGTTAAAATACTTGACAAATCAAAGTAGATACGCAATTGAATCATGAAATATCCGTAGGCGTAGCAAGTTAAATCTAATCATCAAAATGAAATCAAACAAAAGCAGAAAAATCCAACAAAATACCAGTTTACCGTCACATTGTACATATACTACAAAAAATCAAAAAACTCGAAGGACAAAGATTTGAATCTCAAAATACCGAGAATGCATTTATCAAATTTGGTGGATAACAATTAAATATGTTTATTTGCACTTTTTGGCTAGCAACATACTCTAAGGCTACCCGGTATGGGTAGCTTCCTACGTGTGGATACAACCCCATGAGGGTGTAGTCGTCTTCTGGAGTAGAGTCAGTCATGGATGAAGACGAGTGTGTTGATTGGCTAAATCTTAAACGGTTATTTTTCCATCTGTTTAAATGTGAACATTAGATAATAAAAAATATTATTTAACTTTTATATTTAAACCATATCATCTTACCTATAAATATAGACAAAACTGCAAAAATGGTCCCTGTGATATGCATTTTTTGGGGGTTTTAGTCCAAACCATGACTTTTTTGGTTTCGTGGTCCTTTTAGACTAGTTTGTATGTGAAAATAGTCTCTTCGATAATTGAAATGACTATAATACCCTTGGGGTATTTATTTTTCATTTTTCTTTCATTTTTTTTTTTAAATTTAAAATTTATTTATTTATCTTAACAATTAAAAAAAATAAAAGACCTCCATCCCTCTCTCTCTCTCTCTCTCTCTTAAATCCTTTTAAGAAAACAAAAAAAACACAATAGAAAAAAGCATCAGAAATTGATGCATACCACAGGGGAGAAAAGGGGAAGGGAAAGGTTCATTTGATTCTGATTAT